TTTTGACAAAAGTGCCAAGAACACACAATAGAGAAAGGACAATGTTTTTAATAAATGGTGTTGGGGAAACTATAGAGGAATGAATTTGAAGTTATATCTCATTCCTTATGCAAAAATCAACTCAAAATGGATTAAACATAAGACCAGAAGCTGTAGAACTACAAGAAGAAAACAAAGGAGAAAAAGCTTCACGGTAGTGGTCTGAGCAGTAATTTCTTGGATATAACTCCAACAGGACAGGCAGCAAAAGCAAAAATCTACAAACGGGATTATGTGAAACAAAATCTGTATAGCAAAAACAGCAGTAGAGTGAAGAGAACGCACAGATGGGGAGAAAATGTTAGCAAATTATGCATCAGATAGAGGACTAACAGATAAAATATATAAGTAACTCTAACTACTCAGTAATAAGAAAATAAATAACCCTATTTTAAAAATGGGCAACGGACCTGAATAGACATTTCTCAAAAGAATACATGTAAAAGGCCAGATATATGAAAAAATGCTCAACAACACTAATAATCATGAACGTACAAATTAAAACTATGAGATACCACCTCACAACCATGAGAATGCCTATGAGTTTTAAACAATGAAAAGATAAGTGATGATGTGGAGAAAACGAAACTCTTGTACAGTCTTTGCTGAGACTGTAGATCAGTACAGCCATTTTAGAAAACAATATGGAGGTTCCTCAAAACACTAAAAATAGATTTTCCAGCACTCTTTCTTTTGGGATTGAAAATAAAATGTGGAAAAACAGGATGTCCAACAAATTTGAAACTGTATATAAAATGACTGCACTCCCATGTTCATTGCAGCATTATTCACAATAGCCAAGATACGAAAAAATTGAAGTGCCCATCATGAATGGATTTGAAAAGTGTTTTATGTGTATGTGTGTGTGTGTATATATATACATATGTATGTGTGTGTGTATATGCACACACACAGACACACACCACGGAATATCATTTAGCCTTAAAAAAGTAGGAAATTCTATCCTTTGCAACAACACAGATGAATCTAGAAGACATTATGCTAAGTGAAATTAGCTAGGCAGAGAAAGACAAATACTGCAGGATCTCACTCATTGTGAAATACAGAAGAGTCAAACCCATCGAAGCAGAGAATGGAATGGTGGCTACCAGAGGCTGAGGAGAGGGAAAGGAGAGATGATAGTCAAAGGGTAGAAAGTTTTACTCAGGAAAAATAAGTTCTGGTTACCTATTGCACAGTGACTACAGTTAATAACAATGTATATTTTTAAAATTTGCTAAAAGATTCAATTTTAAATTTTCTGAAATACAAAGAAATATGTGAGGTGATGGATGTATTAGCCCAACTGGATCATGCCACAATACATACATGTATAGAAACATGACATTGTACCTAATATATATATACAATTATTTTTCAATTAAAAATGCATTTTTTAAAAAGGAAAAAAGGATAATGTGTTAATCCACTAAGGAATGAATTTCTAACATATTAGCTGCAGTATACACTGCTTGGGTGATGGGTACACTAAAATCTCAGAAATCGCCACTAAAGGACTTATCCATGTAACCTATACCTCCACAACTACTGAAATTTTAAAAAGAAGATCTATTACCCATATAGAAAGAAACTACAGATTAAGAGACTAATAAAAATCTTCACTTTTGTAACTCACCTACATATTGGTACAACAATACGTTGCTAAGTCAAGACAGAAATGGTAAGTTTCCTTTGCTTTTAGGGCTTAGCCTAGATGTCTTTAAAATATAAGCATTAGCGTATTAAAAGTACATTAATTATTGTGGATACTATTTTTTCATTCTTTTGTTTTTCTATTCAGCCGCCATTTAACCTTTCTTGAACTACCCTCCTGACTTTCTTTGGAAAACACCCCTCTGAGACTCTCAGGATGGGGTTGGGGGGGAGGCGTTATTCCTTCTTTTAGAGACATATAAACTGAAAACTGGTCAATCTGAGCATTGCAACAACTCCCCACTCCCTTACCTCCAACCCTGCCCCTGCCTCCTACACACACACTGATTATTTAAAGAGATGGACAATAAGGTTATTAATGGGCCTCAGGTGGAGCTCTGCAATCTAGAGCGCCTGGTGGTACAGAGCAGGTGCCTAACATACCACCAAGCATTCTGGCTGCCATAATGAGCTCACATGCCAGGAAGTGAAAAGAGCTAAATTCAGTCCTGATCATCTAATTCATCCTCCTGGATAGAGACATTTCAGAAGTTCTATGCTGCATGATCCAATTGCTTGTTTGTTTAAAAAAAAAAAAAGAATTTTTAAATAAAAATTAAAAAAAGAATTTTATTAGCTAAAATATTTAAATGTATTATATGACAAGCAATTTAACTTAAATAGGAATTAATTCTTTATAAGTTCTTGAGATGTTTTCAAAATTATGTATTTGTATAGTTACTCTGACCAAAACTAATAAATTTTGTATACAATGAAATGACTAAATTTAAACCTTTTAAATTTAAAAGATTTTTAAATCTATACTATACTCCAGTTTAAGATGGCAGACTAAGCACAAATGTTTCACACCTCTAAAGAGTCCACTGCAACTTCATTATACGCAAGCTTGTCCCAGATAAAAGCCGAAAACAAATTTTAAATTGAGGCCATATGACACTATCTCAATGAAGTAGTAAGTTATTAAATATTATCCTGAAAATTTATATGAATTGAAAACATTCTTCTGAAAGGTACAGTCTGTCTCTATATAGACTACTTTTAAGTGGAAAATATTTTACTGTCTTTAAAATGAAAGACAAAATAATGTGAAAGCTACGAAAGAGAAAGTACTCAAAGGACAGTAGGAAAATTGAAAATTCTTGTTTTTCACAAAGATTTGCAATAGCAACCATTTCTTCTCTTTTAATCTAGAACCAAACAAGGATGTAGAATAGAGAAAAAAAGATTGCCTGGTGCATTTCTAGTTCCCTTATTTTTCACTCAAACATGCACGCAGGTAGACACACTTGAAACATACAGAAAACTCATTAAAGACAGACTAGGGTGTGCCAGGTGTGGTGTCTCACACCTGTAATCCCAGCACTTTGGAGGGCTGAGGTGGTGGATCATGAGATCAGGAGTTCAAGATCAGCCTGGCCAAGAGGGTGAAACCCTATCTCTACTAAACATAAAAAAAATTAGCCAGGCGTGGTGGTGGGTATCTGTAATCCTAGCTCCTTGGGAGACTGAGATAGGAGAATGGCGTGAACCCAGGAGGTGGAGGTTGCAGTGAGCTGAGATCGCGCCACTGCACTCCAGCCTGGGCAACAGAGCGAGACTCTGTCAAAAAAAAAAAAAAAAAAAAAGACTAGAGTGGAATAAGATGGCATTCGAAGGTAGTAGGGAAGTCATGAACTTAATAACTTTGGGTCTGTGGTTTGCTATACTCAATGCTTTTTATGTCCTTTTAAATTTTACCCACCCTACCACACTGCATCTCAAGACTGAGAACTTCGGCATTCTCCAGGATATCAAATATGCAGGTAGCTGTATTTTCACTTCATCCTCCTGTGAGTTAATTTATAAATTTCCTCTGGGTAAAATCAGGCTACCAATTACATCATTTTCAGAAAAATATTATTTCATTTTGTTGTTTTATATAGAGTGTTAAATTCTTAGAGTTCTTTTAACTTAGTTTCAAAAATAATTCTTACATGTAAGCAAGCTATTTTTACAATCAGCATCATACGCACTAATTAAAGAATAATGAAAATATTCATGTGCTGATTAATGTTGGATTAGAATCAATCCTTGACAATAAAACTAGGCATGGAATATAAAATGCAATGAAAATACAAAGTACATGATGACTTGGTCTGCGTGAAATCCTGTCAACGGATTATATATTTATTGTTGATTGTTGTATTTCCTAGAGTATCTGTGCATCAGTCTATTAAAAAATTTGTCAGGAAAATACATTATTTGAGGGATTTTATGATGTCAATGAAAACTTTAGAATAATAAGACCACTACCAGTGACTTCTGTATATTTTGTCACAAAAACCGATCAGTTCTTATTTCTATGATATGTGGTTCCCAAAGATGAGAATTTGATCCTTTCACCTCATAGGAGCTGTTTCCTAGATCGAATCTTAATATGCAACAGAAATCAATCGACCACAGGGTATCTACTGTTACACAACTTATTCCTCTTTCTTCTAGATTGAAAGTGTCCATGAAAATATAACCTGCTTCCCAGAGGTGATATTAAGACCGTTCACATAATTTCTTCCCATTCTTCAAAGAATTAACATGTGCCAGGTTGAACTTTAGTCACAAGCCCAATATTTATTAAGAAACATAATTATTTACTACTTGGAGAGACGAATGAGATTATGTAGTCATACCAGGTAAATTATTATTCCTCAAATATTCCTATTCTCTCTCATTTACAAAGGATAATTCTGAAGAAGTACATAACTTTCAGGGGAACATTTTCAAACTCCCTGAATGGTCTGACCTGCCCCCTGTCCCTCTGTAGTCCTTTCTTTCATGGGGTTGATGAGCGCTTTAACAGACTACGCCTGTGAGGACTTTTGAAAACCAGACAAGAATATTTGGGAGAAAATTCTGACTTGAAAGGCATGTTTAGACCTTGAACACTAATTAAACTAAATTCTGGTTGTTTTACATTAGAATACAAGCATTCTTCCATTCTTGTGGTGGAGGTAAGTGCTTATTTAAGAGTTAAATTTTACCTGTAATCCCAGCACTTTAAGAGGACAAGGCAGGAGGATCGCTTAAGGTCAGGAGTTTGAGACCAGCCTGGCCAACATTGGGAAACCCCGTCTCTACTAAAAATAAACAAATTAGCCGGGCATGGTGGCAGGCACCTGTGGTCCCAGCAACTTGGGAGGCTGAGGCAGGAGAATCTCCTGAACCCAAGAGGCGGAGGTTGCAGTGAGCCGAGCGCGCCACTGCACTCCAGTCTGGGTGACAGAGTGAAACCCCATCTCAAAAACAAACAAACAAGCAAACAAAAATAAACAACAAAAAAAGTTAAATTTCAAAACTGGTTACAAGAAAACTAAAGAAAATCGGATCCTAGTCCAGACTGCCTACCTGAGGGCTGATGGAAGCATCAAGGAAGCATACTATCAGGTGAAAGGTTAATTTCTCTCTGCAGCCTTTTATTTAATCAGTCTCTTAGTTCAAACAGAGTGTGCCAAGAATGCTGTAGGTTCTCAGGAAACAGGGCTTAATGGCACTGATGATGGCACTGAGAGATGCTAACATCCTCATCGTTTTAGACTAAGTAGGTAAGTTGGAAAGCCACTCTCTTAGTAATGAGGGCGAGGGGCTTGGAAGAAGTTATTATTGGTGTTTCTACGATTCTCAGCCATTTTGGGATACAAGATGAGTCTCATTGGCAGGTGTTAGATTATTAGGAAAATTAAGCAGATGGCACTGGCAAGCTACACCTCCCCTTTCCTCAGCTGCCAGGAATTCTTACCCTCAAGCTTAGCTTCACATATGCTTGTTTAAAAGCTCTTGCCATTTCAAGGAAACAGAATCCGTGTCATCATTCAAGCATGCCCATGACTATGAACCAATAGCATTATCCACATTTTCTCAGAGTGTTAAGCAAACACCTTTCTGTTTTCTGTGTGTCACCCAGAACCTGCCACAGTGCATTCCACCGAGGCGGCTTATGTCACTGACTCAGAGGAGCAAAGTGAGTGTATCTCAGCAGTTGTTTGCAATGTTCAGTGTACCGTAATATGGATCTGATATCCTGCGTCATCACACGGTCAAGAGCAGCCAAGCCTCCAGTCTCTACACAATGAAATCATAGAAAATAGCATTTTCAAGAATGGTGTTTCATATCGTCTCAACCAGTCGACTTTGGTAACATTATTTTTGTTTTTTTAATTGTACGTTCATTTATCAGCCAGTCTTCAGAGACAGCTCACAAGTTTGACAGAGGATCTCATACAGATGCCTAATTAAATAATGAAGCCATGAAATTTTAGGAATTAATAGCATTCTGAACGTTCAAATCATTCTAACAAAAATAAACAAAATCATATAACCTGTGACTGTGCCAATTACATAGATGTATATGCAGAGAGAGATTATATATAATTAAACTACAATCCTAAATCTATTGCACTGAACAAAATTTAAAAGATCTATCAAACATTTGCCAGGAGCCGAGAACTATGAAATGCACTGGGGCTGCGATAAGAAACAGGACATATAGAATCCCTGCTCTCAATGACCTTAAAAATAACAAGGAAAACGAAAAGCAGATGACAATGAAAAACGGTATGGAAAGAAGACACCCAACTGATACAGGGCAGACACGCCCCCAAATTGGGGCTTACCCTGTCAGGGTTCTTGACTCTACCCAGGAAAGAATAAAAGTGAGCTGGTGGTGGTAGACAGCAATGTTGATTGAACCAGAGCTGTTCCTTGCAGACCAGTGCTAACTCCTAGGCAGTGCACCCAGAGCCAGAAGCATATGGGTTGTGGGCAGCCGTATTTATACCCACTTTTAATTATATGCAAGTTAAGGGGCAGGTTATTCAGAAATCTCTAGAAAAGGGGTAGTAACCTTGGGGTTGTTGCTATGAATAAGGAGTGGTAACTAACGGGTCGTTGTTATGGCCTTTTTTCCCCCCGCCCAAGAGAGAGTCTGGCCCTGTCGCCAGGCTGGAGTGCAGTGGTGCGATTTTGGCTCACTGCAACTTCCGCCTCCTGGGTTCAAGCGATTCTCCTGCCTCAGCTTCCAGGTAGCTGGGACTACAGGCACACACCACCACTCCCAGCTAATTTTTGTATTTTCAGTAGAGATGGGGTTTCACCATGTCGGAAAGGATGGTCTCCATGTCTTGACTTTGTGATCCTCCTGCCTCGGCCTCCCAAAGTGCTGGGATTACAGGCATGAGCCACCATGCCTGGCCTTGCCATGGCATTTGTAAACTGTCATAGTGCTGATGGGAGTGTCTTATACTAATGAGCAGTGAGGGTAACTAGAGGTTGCCTTCAGTGGCACCTACTGTTCCTGGCCAGTTTCTTCACTTCATCCTGTCTGACCCAGGAAGTAAGGCCTGCCAGTCTCCTACCTCACAACCTCTACCTCGAAGGGTAGAGGTACCGGTGCAACGTTTAGTGATACTGGAAGGATGGTAGGAGTTTGCCAGGAAAAGCACACAAATTATAGGAGAACTGGTAAAAACTCAAACTTGAGAATCAAGGTATATTTGAAGATATGAATTTAGTTCAACATGGCTGAGATGTCACAAGTGAGGAGAGGAGGGGGCCACACAGGTGACCGGAAGCAACTGTGAGGTTCATATCCTGAAGGAGCCTGAAAACTTGAGGAATAGATACTGAGCCCATCAACAAGCCACTGAGGTTTTTAAGCACGGAAGAGGCGTGGTTCAATTTGCATTTCAAAAGTGGCACTTACACTACCACACGGGGAACGGATTGGATGGGGGCAAGTATAGAAGAGACTGCAGTAGTCAACGTCAAAAAGTGAACGAACTAAACCCAGGGTAATGGAAATGGGGATGGAGAGAATAGAGATTTTATCTTAGAAAAAAATTCACAACATTCCCCCACGCAAATAGTTGATGGGAGTTGCCAGCTGAATTACCGTCGCCAATCTGTCTGCCCTACTGTTTACCTATTTGCTATTAGAGTTGCTGATGTAATGATGAAAAATAACCAAAGGCAAAGATAACACGCTAACTGGGTAACCAGCCCTTTAGTGCCCACCCACACTCCTGCGCGCGCACACACACACACACACAGACACACACACACGTAGGCATCTTGAAATATGATTATCCATAATGGAATATGATTATCCATAGTGGTAAAAAGCAATAATCCTATCATTATGCACAAAATTATTAGAGGTCCTATGAGTTGTTTTACAATATGTTAATTTATTTGCATAGCCCTGCTCCTCTGAATGTGTGGTTTACATTGCATTGTAAACTGGATTAGAAATCATCTGATCCAGTTTCTGCTTGGATGACAAGACTGGGGAGACCACTGTTTCGAGAGATACTGCTCCATCATTGGCCAGCTCTGTTAGAATTTCTCTTTTATATTAGGCCTGATTTTCTCCCGGTAAGTTTCACATCATTGCCAATGCTCAAATACAAAACCATTCCCTTTGTTCTTGTCTTACATGTAGGAAAAAATAATTGAAAGTGAGAAATTGAGAAAGTTCATTTAAGCTCTGCCTTTTACGTTGTAAATAATTGACTGCTTTGAACTATTGGTAAGGTCATAGGTCTTCTATTGATTGTTTTTGTATCTTCATAAAATAAGTACATGCTCTTTCACCATTTCAGCTCATCAACCGGGCTTCAAACAAGCCATGATCTCTCAGGTCATCCATGAGGCCAACCTGCATCATCTGTCTTCCCGTGTGAAAACTCAACCCGTGACAAAGAAATTACTGAACTGTTTCTTAGCATTTAAAGGAGCATCCAAGACATTCCTTTTTCTTTCTAACATAAAAAAAGCCATAGATGTGTAGGAGAGTGTCGTGGTTCATGGGTTGGATGTCTGTTTGCCAGCTGGATTTGTACTTGGAAAACAAATGAATCTCTGATTAGCCAACCTGTAACACACACACACACACACACACACACACACCCTCTACCCACCTTTAATGGAAGTCATCATTTATTTAATATTATGAACACCTAATATGTACCAAGCAATGTTTCAAACTTAACAGTGAATGAGGTACAAATAGGTTGGTTCTCATATTTCTGTGTAAGAAACAAGTAACATCAAGACAACTAAGTTAATAAGAAACATGCATAGTGGTGTATTCAAGGCAAAGAATTAAATCGGGCTGATGTTACTGAGTGGCCACTTTGAAGTGGGAAAGAGATTTATCTCAATAGATCATTTTTGAGATACAAACAGTGACTAGCTTACTTCTCACCTGTACTGACAGTTGAATTTTAGCCTAGAGTAGAAACACACAGCCATAATGAGAAGTCTCATATGAAATTCATGATCCGGGACCTCTAGAGGACACTTGACACTGCTGAAAATCATATTGCATTTTTCTAGTCCATTGTATACCTACTTCTTTTCTTTTTTTTTTTTTTTTTTTTTTTTTTTTTGAGACAGAGCCTAGCTCTGTCACCCAGGCTGGAGTGCAGTGGTGTGCTCTCAACTCACTGCAACCTCTCCCTCCCAGATTGAAGTGATTCTTGCGCCTCAGCCTCCCCAGTAGCTGGGATTACAGGTGCACACCACCACATCCAGGAAATTTTGGTAGTTTTAGTAGAAATGGGGTTTTGCCATGTTGCCCAAGCTGGTCTCAATTTCCTTGTCTCAAGTGATCCACCTGCCTCAGCCTCCCAAAGTGAAGGGATTACAGGCATGAGTCACCATGCCTGGCCACCTACTATTTCTGCATAGCCCCAATATCTCCTTTTCTCACCCTCTCTAAGGAGCCTGCCTCCTGTTTCTCTGGGGGAAAACAAAAATAAAAGCAATGAGAAGAGATGTTTCCTAAGCTCCCAACAACCAATCCTTCCCATTTTGCTGCCTTCTCCTGCTGATCTGGAGGAAGAACTTCCTGTGCTTCTATGTAAGGTGCCTCTTTCCACTTTTGCACTAGATCGTTTGCTCTCTGACTTACCCTGAGATATGCTCTCCTGTCTCTCTGATAGTTCCTTCTCTCCTCAGTCAATCTAATCATCCATCATTTCAGCCCACCACAGTATGGAAACTCTGTTTCTTCTCACACAGCAGCATCCAAGTCCCCACAGTGACTACAAGACTCGACATGATTCAGCCTCAGTACTTGCATGACCTTAGCTCCTCCTCCATCTTCATTCCTTTTCCCCTGTACTCCAGCCATGCACACAGCATAGCACACTTCTACCTCAGGGCCTTTGTACTTATTTCTTCTGCTCTGACCTATCTTCCCCAAGGTATCTACACAACTCACCCCTGACCTCTCTTCTTTGTTCCCATGTTGCTAGTGCGATGTTCCCTACACCTGTGTAAAATCCCCACTGTTATTCTGCCATTCACTATCTCTCTTGCCAGCTGTTTTTTCTCTACAGCATTTGCCATGATTTGAAACAGCACTTGGTTTATTTATTTACATAATGTATAGTCTGTGCTCCTACGCCCTACTAGAATATAAGTTCCATGAGGGCAGGATTTTGTATTAATGCATAGCTTCTTTTGGGGTTTTATCCCCAAAATGTGGAGCAAAATCTGGCACATACAGGGTCTCACTAACTGCTGAATGAACTGAATGCATGCAAGACATAGCTAGTCTTTTTAGAATCATGGGAAGGAACATTTCAGGCAGATGTCATAGCTCATAAAATATCCCAATAAAGGGGAAAAGCTTTGTGTGTTTGAAGAAACCAAAGGTCAGTGTGGCTAGAGCAAAGTGGGAAAAGAGAAGAGTGGTCCAAGATTCTTCCTCCTAAAGAACAAAGTCAGTTGACAACTACCTTTCCTTGCCCCGAGTGTTGCCTGCTATATCCTGATGCTTTCTCCCTCTGCTGGACGGGACCTCCCATTATTCATTACTGAATGAACTACACATTTCAATTACAGCACTTCTGAAACACAATACATTCTACTACATAATGCAGGATAGAATTAAACTTACAGAATCTGCTTAGGACCTCAGCATCATTTGGGCCCTTGAGAAACACTCTCTCCTTGGTCGTTTTTGACACTCTGCCTCATCCCATTTTTTTGAGGATCCACCTTTTGTTGAGGATAAGTCCTTCCACAATAACACAGCCACTCTTATTTTCTTTAGTAAACTTTACCCTACAGAGGTGACTGTTGGGCCTTCCATCTTTCTAACTGCAAAATCAGACTGCATGTTTATATACAAAATTGATGATTCCTCCCAAATAGAGGGATAAATCGAACATAATTTGAATTCACTGGAACTTATTGTCAAGAACTATAAATGGTTTGAGATTCTCTCCTTCTTGCAATCCGACAACTTAGCTGGCCACCATTTCATGAGGTAGGTAGAAGGCATTAGGTTCCTTGTTAGAGATAAAGGATGGTTTATTACTCAAAGCAATAGCCGAGCCAGAATAACAGTAATTTTTTTCTGGTTTCATAAATGCCAATTCTTAGGCAGCAACACAAAGAGGGCCCCATGACACCTGCATGTGAGTGTGCTGCATTATAGGAGAGGAAACCTAAGCTTTGGGAACCCACATTTTTTATAATTGACAGTAAGCATGTTTGCCCTTTGATCCACAGGGGGGAAAATACCTTTATTATACCAGACAGCAAATATGTCTGTCCTTTGCTCTAGAGAGAAACTATCTTCCATGGCTGTTTTCTGGACAAACATCCTCTAAAAGACAATCCAAAACAAAGAAAGTCACAAGATATGGATAAATTTAAGAATCCTGTGATGGGTTATCTCCCAACATCTACCCCTTGTTTCTCTACCATCCTGGATTCTGATGAATTTTCCTTGAGTATGCCACTCTAATAACCACTCTAATTAATCTGACAGAAAGAGGTTGGAACACATACTTTCAATTTGTCTTATGTAGTACTTAATTGAGGCTATTACCAACAAGACTCCAAGCAGCAGTAGTGACCTCAATTATGGCTCCTGGGATCCCAGGCCTAACCAGCTAAACAAATCCCATAAACCATCAGTTTCTGTATCGACCTTTTCACTTGACCCAAGGCATTAATCCACGTATAGCAGGATGTATTAGCATTTGCACAGACCCTGCCTTGGCTTGCAAGCAGAAAATAGGGGGCAATGGTATCATCCATAACAACCCTGGCCAGTGAGCTGAAACTGATTTGATTGTCTTCCAGGGCAAAGTTGGCACCACTGATCACTTGAGCTAAAATCAGGGACAAATTTTGTATCACCATTTCTAATTGAAGGACTTCCAATGCACAGATAACTGCCCACAGGTTGCACATAAAAAAATGTGTCAGTTACCCCTCCAGGAAGCTCTTTGGATAAACCAAAGACAGCCTCATTTTGGAGGGATCCTTGAGGTCATCTGAGAGGTTTCTTATGACCACCCTAAGGTATGAGTCACCGTGTTTTCAAGGAGAGAGTAACAAATGCATGGCTTCACACAAGAAGCACAGTTCTTGTGAGGACATGGAGTCCCTGGAAAGAAGGCACTGTTTACATTTGTTGGAGTGGCCCAAGTAGCACCCACATCAGTTTTTGGGCAAAGGTCCCAGGGCCTCCAGTGTGGCTGCCCAAACGGCTGGTGAGCCCTGGCATTTCCAGATCAGTTTGCATAATGCAGTCAATCCTTATTCTGGAGGGACTGCATGACGCCAGCCAGTCCAATCTGCCCTTTATGTTCATGGGGGGCATTTTTCTACCCCCCTAGAATGCCACAGGGTCAGATGATCAAACTCAAACAGCCACAGTGGAACCTCAATTAAATCAAGAGTGGTGAAGCACCACCACCTGACTGCTTAGTGTAGGCTTCCAAGAATGGGTTTGTGCAGTACCCCAAACAATGTGGCCTCACCTTCAGGTAAGCTGTTTGTTCAGCTTCCAGCAGGAGTCCCAGGTCTGGCTTGCATGGTGGCTTCTGCATCAGAAATACAGGGTCCTTTCCTCTGTATCCAGTCTATGTCGGTGGATATGTTAGCAGGCCTGATACCATGATGGATTCAGGCAGCCAAGGTGACATCCTGGGTGGTGCAAGCTCAATCAGCTGCTCACTTCCAGGTGGTCTTATCAGAAAACAGACTCATGTGGTGTATCTACATGAGTGGTCCACATGTTTTGATTAACAGCTGTGAATTATTTTCACAGTTCTTGATCCCAAAAAGGACATATTGAATCTGTAGGTCTGTGGTTTTCCAAGTGGCATGCCAAACAGCTGGGCCACTGGGAACAGCCTAAGAGTCAGTAAAAATCTAACAAAGTTCACTAAGGACTATACTTGCCAGATCAAAGAGAATGGCCTTGAGCTGTGCCCACTTACTAGAGAGAACCACGTTCATTTTCTGCATAGCTGCCACTGAGATTCAACAGCCCCAGCAGCCTTGCTGATATTGTTGTAATTCAACTCAGCCAAACCATCAGTGAACCAGCCATAGGCATTTAGGGGACCACTGTGGACTGAAGGCTCCATTGAGATAGCAGCTTAGCCTCAGGTGACAGAAAGGGAGATAAAGAATCTACCAAAAAGATAGTTACCATGTTTTATGTAAAGTTGCTGCCAGGATGCTAAGAAAGTGCTGAGGCCAGGCTGGTGGCATTCATAAATATGCTGTTTCCTTTCACCAGCCAAGGCTTGTTGGGCCTTTCCCAACTTGTCATTGATTCTGAATTGACCCACCCACCGCCAAATGACAATATCAGTTCAGCAAGTCACAAGACCTCTGTAGGTCATGTTTTTTAGGTCAACAAGAGCCAGAAGCTGCTTTATAAAGGGCGTTATAATTTGCTACTTTGAGCCTCTGGTAGAGAAGCGGTCTCCATTCAGCATACCCATTGGGGTCAGGACTTATCCTCTCCCTGG